GGGGTCGCTATAAGTCACTTTGACTCAATGGCAGAGAGTTTGGTTTGAGTGGATTTGGAGGGTACTTATTAACTGGGAGCAGTGGTTGTACAGTGGTAGGATTCTCATTTTTATGTAGGAGACCTAGGTTCAGTTACAACCAATAAGCGTATGGGCACTCATGACCAATCTGGCTGTGGTGGCTTGCTGTGATGTTAAGCAGATTTCTGTAGAGTTTCAGAATGAGTTAAATTAGTGGTGGGGTGGGGTGCGGCGGCCCAGTTAGCTCCTTATGAAAATCAGCTATTGAACCTTCTATGGATCACAAAGGTCTGATCTGCAAATGATCCACACAGCATTTCATCCCATTGTGTATGAAATATTAGCAAGATTTCTGTCTCTCTACACTTAGTAGCCAGTGAAAGGCATTTCTGTTTATTTCGGTTTTTCAAGCTTGATTTTGCTATCTTCTTTCATTGCTAAGTGGTTCTCAACCTTCCTAATCCTGCAACACTTTAATACAGTTCCACATGTTGTGGTGACCCCCCAACCATAAAATTATTTTCGTTGCTACTCCATAGCTGTCATTTTGCTACTGTTTTGAATTGGGTGACCCCTGTAAAAGGGTCATTCGACCTCCTAGGGGTTGCGACCCACAAGTTGAGAACTGCTGGCTTAGAGGATGATGTGTGTATAAAGCAGAGGACTATTATATGACAGCATTCAATAATGTAAAGATCCTGTTAAGTTTACCCAAGAGAAAAAATGAAAAATAGAAAGTTTAACAGTGCTGGTGTACATCTAGGTATTTTGAATGCTGTTATAATGTTTTTGCGTGTTGTGAATTTATCTTTTTTTTAGTGAACAAATATACAAAGCTTTTTCTACATGTTCAATTTAGTGGTGATGATTGTATTTAAGTTATGCTACTATTCTGGCCATTCTTTTCCAAATTAATTCACTATCATTGTCTTGAACTCATTGCTCTTATGCTTCCCCAAATATAAACTTTTGGATTGCTATTGTCAACTTAATACCACAAAGATGATTCTTTAAAAGAGCACATGCTCAAAGCACATGTACATCACTTAAATTTAAGAGAAGCTGTTTGTTATTGCTATTAAATAAATCTTCAGGGGCTATTCTTTGCCTTAAGGTTACGGTTTAAAGATGATCTCAGTGTCTTAGCTTTGGTGATTGGATCTGCTCTGCTATGGTTTCAGAAAATCTGGGCTCCGTGAAACATTTGAAACTTAGATCCAGATTTCCCCTCTTCTGATCAGCATACTTCTATTGGCTTTCTGATCAAGACATTCAGTAATGCAATTGACATGGACAAAAACAAAAACAAAAGTTAGTTGACTTTTAACTATTTCGAGAGGTAGCATCTGATGAAGAACCAATTATATCTGAAGGAAGAAGTCCAAGCTGTACTGAAGGAATAAGCCCAAAAAACGGGTTCAGGAGTAGGAGCTGTGAAAGCATTCACTCATCCATGCCAACAAATTTGGAAGACAGCTACCTGGTCAATTAACTGGAAGAGATCCATATCTGTACCCATGATTAAAAAGGATGACCCAACAGAATGTGAAAATTATAAAACACTATTATTGATATCACTTGCAATTACAATTTTGGTGAAGATAATTGACCATGGTTGCGGAAGGACATTGACAAGGAGCTGTCAGATACTCAGGCAGATCTAGAAGAGGACATAGATCAAGGGCTATGATTGTCAGATGGATCTTGGCTGAGAAAAGAGACTATTAGAAAGATGTTTACTTGCATTTATGGACAACTCAAAGGACTTTGACTGTGGGGACCATAAAAACAGTAAGAACAACAACAATGAATAGACTTGAGAAAGAGGGAACACCAGAATCCTTAGATATGATCATGCAGAGCCTTGTACATCGATCCATACAGAACAAGAGCATATCGCGTGGATGACCATCGGGAAAGGTGTATGTCAAGTTGTACCTTCTCACCACACTTATTCAAGTTTTATGATGAACATATAATCAGAGAAGAAAAGTGCTAAGCAAATCTCTCTGAAGATGAATGTGGCATCAGGGTGGGTGGAAGGCTTATTAGCAACCTGTGATACATAGATGGAACAACCTTGCTTGCTGAAAGTGAGGAGGACTTGCAACACTTGCTGATGAATTTCAAGGAGTATAGCCTTCAGTTTGAATTACAGTTCAGTGAAACAAAAACAAAAATCCTTACAACTGACCAATAGGTAACACCATGAGAACCAGAGAAAAGATTGAAGTTGTCAAGAATTTGGTCTTGCTTAGATCCACAATCAATGCTCACGGAAGCAGCAGGCAATAAAGCAAATAATGTGTTGGGTAAATCTGGTACACCCGACTCCTTTAAAGTGTTAAAAAGCAAGTTTATTACCTTGAAGACTAAAGTGTTCCTGACACAAGCCTTCGTATTTTCAACCAGCTCATAAGCATTTGAAAGTTGGACACTAAATAAAGACGATCTAAGAATTGATGCATTTGACTTATGGTGCTGCCGAAGAAAAATGCAAGTGCCATCGACTGCCAAAGGAGCAAACAAATCTGTCTTGGAGGAAGACGAGCCAGCATGCTGCGTAGAAGCCAGGATGGTGAGACGTTGTCTCATGTACTTTTGATGTGTTAGGAGGAGAGCGCAAGCTCTGTACAAGGGCATGCTGCTCGGTGAAGTAGAGGAGCTGTGAAAAGAGGAAGATCTTGACAAGAGAGGCGGATAGAGTAGTGGAAACAGCTTCAAGCATGAGAACAGTTATGGAGATGGTGCAGGACGGGGCTCAGTTTCATATTGTTATAGCAAGGGTCACCGCGAGTCCCAAACAACTTGATGGACCTACCAACAATGTTGCTATATTGCTTTTTTATTGGACAGAATTTTATTATGATTACGTAACATTTTCACATTGTCTGAAATGTGGTATATTATCACATCACCTGAATCAGTAAACACATGTAGATTGGGACCACTCTTGTTCCTAATTTGTGTGTGTGTGTATACTCTGCCACTCAGTACATGCCAACTCACAACACTGTAGGGCAGGGTATCACTGCTCCTGTAACTGTTGACTGGAGTAGAAAGCTTCACCTTTCTCCAAAGAAGTGGCTGGTAGTTTCAAAATATGAACTTTTAGATTGCGGCCCAACTCTTAATCACTACTCCACCAGTGTGTGTGTGTGTGTGTGTGTGGGGGGGTGAACACACATGAGTGTATATACAGGTGTCTACAGATATACTTCATCTATTTATATTATATATGTGTATGGCTATGTGCATATGTGTATAGATAGATACACACATCCATATAAATAAAAACACACTAGAGTACTTTGAAACGTTCATGGTAAAGTGGAATTAAAGGATAATCGAAGTTTTCCAAATACTTTTTAAAATTCTATTATACATCCCATTATTCGTATTTTCTAAGACTTCACTATAAAATATAACATTTAATTAACATGATACCTAGATTAAATGAGTTTTAAAAATTGAAGATTTTGTGTAAGCACATGTGTTTGTGCAGATATGTTTACTTTAGGTGTTATGGACATGATACTAGTTCCTTCCACCAACCTGAAAAGATTATTTTTTTACAATCCTTCTTTTGACTCACCTACTATTAGACAAAACTACAGGAAAACTATATGAACATGCTCTCATACTTCCTATGTCCACATAGTTCTAAATATTTATATTTTATATTCCACAATAAGTGTTTGTCAGGCAGAAATTGCTGCAAGTGTGAAAATAACCATGGTCACGTGGCAAAATAAAAGAAAGCATCCTTCACATATGCACTTACTTCCTAATTCCAGAAAGTATCAATATTCCTTCCTGTGGGAAAAGCGCATGTTACTTTTGTCACAGCAGATATGACCGAGGTTCATGAGAAAAGGAGCGTGTACTGGGTTTGCAGGGGGCTTTGAATGTAGTCACACGTGTACTCGAGACACGGGCAGAGGAACCTTCGAGAGAAACACTCAGAAGAGAGGACAATGTGGAATGGCCTTCAGCCCAGGCATTTCAGAAGCTACCAGAAGCTTGATGAGGTTAAAAAAAGTTTTTAGAGGAAGCACAGCTCTGTCCATAACTTAATTCTCCTAAAACTGAGAGAATACATTTTTGTTGCTTTGCGCCAAAAAATATGTGGTGATTTTTACAGCAGCCACAGCAACAGATGCAGTTAGCATTTACCCTTTACGTGTGTGCGTATACATGTATTCATTTCTTCCCAAGAATTTAAGAACTAGCTTGAAAGTAATTCTGAGTCATCTAATTGATCTTTGTGTTACAAATCTTGTATTAGAATGCAGTGGTTTGATAGTAATGCAGGGAAGTTTCTAGAGTGCATAAGATTTCTTCTTAGAGTGGGGGATGGAGATATTTTAATAGTATTTAAAATGGTTGCTTCTTCCTAAAACTTAAATCAATGGCTTAGTGCGTAGGAGATGAGTGGATTCCCACTCAAGATATACTGAGGCGAATGGGTCCATTTGTTTTGTTTTCTGTTGGTTTAGTTGTTAAATGAACCAAGGAAACAGCAGCAGCTACATTCAGCTATGTTAACGGCTGCATCGAAGATGCTTTGGGGTGTCGTAGCTGTGATAAATAAAATTTGTCTTTTACTTAGCTAAACTTCATGAATATTTTAAGCTTCACATTCATTACATCATTAGAAGCATATTTAGAAAAGTTTGATGATAATTAAATATCAATCATAATCTCTTTAGATTTTTATCATTTAAGTTACACACAGAAGGAGAGCCATTGGAAGTGAGTAGTACAGCAAGCTGATCTACGTATTCATGTCCTATTGCTGCTATTAAAAAGTTATCACAATCTTTCCACCGTAAAATAAAACTTTCTTACAGCTCTGAAGATCAGAAATCAAAATTCAGATCAGTTGACCTAAATCAAGGTGGTGGAGGCTACACTTTGTCCAAAGATGCTGAGGGAGAAGGTGAAGAGGTATAAGGGGCATCATTGCTGATGTCTGATGGATCATGATTGAAAGCAGAGAATGCCAGAAAAGATGTTTACTTGTCTTTTATTGACTGTGCTGAGTCATTCAACTGCACGGATTACAACAACTTATAGATAGCCTTCACAGGCAGGGGAACTCCAGAACACTTCCTTGTACTCATGTGGAACCTGTACAGGCAACAGCAGGCTCTTGTGTGAACAGAACAAGGGAACACTGCATGTTGTGAAATCAGGACAGGTGTGTGTCCTCTCATCAGAGTCTTCGATCTTTATCCTGAGCAAATCATCAGGGAAGCTGGATTTAAGGAAGAAGACTGTTGCATCAGGATTGGAGGAGGCTTATTAACACCCTGAGGTATGCTAATGACACTACCTTCCTTACTGAAGGTGAGGAGGAATTGAAGCCCTTGCTGACGAAGGTCAAGGACTGTAACCTTCAGTACACATACAACTCAACATAAAGGAGACAAAGTCCTCACAACTGGACCAATATGTCACATCAGGATAAATGGAGATGACATGGAAATGGCCAAGGGTTTTGTTTTACTTGGATCCCCAATCAAAGCTCACGGAAGCAGCAGTTAAGAGATCAAAGGATACATTGCATTGAATAAATATGCTTCACAAGATTTCTTTAGAGTACTGAAAAGCAAGGATGTTACTTTGAGGAGTAAGGTGTATAAGTCATGGTATTTTCAATTGCTTCATATGCATGTAAAAGTTGGACATTGAATAAGGAAGTCTGAAGAAGAATCGATGCTTTGAATTGTGCTGCTTGTGAAGAGTATTGAAAGTACCAAAGACAGTTAAAAGGACAAAAAAAAATATCTGTCTTGGAAGAAGTACAGCCAGATTACTCCTTAGAAGTAAGGATGATGAGACTTCTTGCATACATTGGACATGTTGTTAAGAGAGACCAGTCCCTGGAGAAGGACATCATGCTTTGTAAAGTAGAGGGGCAGGGAAAAAAGGAAGGCCCTCAGTGAGATGGAATGGCACAGTGGCTGCCTCAGTGGGCATAGGAACAATTGTGATGACAATGCAGTGTTGTTCCTTGGGCTGCTATGGGTTGTAACTGACTGAATGGCACCTAATGACAGAGCTGCCGGCATTCCATCACTAGTGGTTCTTCTCCGCAACTTCAAAGTCAACAGCATCGTATCTTTCTTCATTGAAAGCCATTTGCAGCATTCCTGGGTTGTTCCAGTGCCCAGGCTGTAGTTCTCACTTGGAGAAACACTGGTTAAAAACCACCAGCCACTTTGTTCATGAACGAATTACATAGTACATCTCTTGGTCCCTGGTATGCTATTGATCTAATTCCTTTTTGCCATAACTGTTTCTAAGGGCTACAAGAAGCAATTTGCCTTCAGCTGGCCACACACTTTGACTGTCCTATCTCAAAGTTATATCAATGCTCCAGACTGATATGATATAATTTATAATACCAAAAGATCTACTTTATTTCTTGCTATCTCAGTGGCATTCATATAGCACAATAACATCTTGACACAGTACTCTGAGATAAGAGAGTTTAAACCAGTTCAGGAAAAGATCTTCCTTGTCACATAGTGAACTGTAGCTGGAGACTAACTTGCTCTTGCTTTGGGCAGGTGAGTACATCATACTCATCGTGACCCTGTAGGACAGACGGGGCTACCGGAAACCTCCATGAGGATGGCAAAGAACAGAAGTGGTGGCTTGAGTTAGGAATATCTGCTAATGGGAGCAGTGGGTTAACACACTATCCAAAAAGTACACAGTCAACAAATGCCCGTGAGACCCAGGAAATAAAGGGACTAAAAAGCAAATAAAAAGCTTCTCGGACACCAAGAGGAAGCGAGTTAAAGTAGAGCTAAAAGAATATAGCAACGAGTCGCAACATTTTTGATGCTTTTACCCTTTTCTCTCTAGTAGTCTTAAAACTTCAAATGAAATATGAAAAAAAAGATTTAGTGATGGCCTCTTCTTCAGATATGGGAACTGAAGTTCAAATTACCTGCTATTGGTGAAAGATGTTAGTTTTAATAGTTACATATTAGAAAAGTATATTAAATAAAAATGAAAATTATTTGCTAATATATATTTAAGAGGTGGGCTTATTTATTATAGCCATGATGGCAAAATGTCCCATTCATATTTTGTGTGACTGCCTTTCATGTCTCCCTGTACAAGCAGAGCTGTTGGACATGGTCCAATAGTGTACATAGTTAAGAAGAGGGAGACACGGAAGAGATGTTGGAGGGAGGAGAGGAGGGAGAGGAAAAGGTCGGGAAGAAGGACTGTGGAAGAAGAAGGAAAGGGAGAGGAGAAAGAGAAAGTTAAAACAAGAGGAGGAGGAGAAGCAGAAGGAAAGACATCGATAGGAGATCTCTTTGGGACCCTGAGACAGAGAGAATGGACTAATTTTGCAGATCCTATGGACCTGGAAAATTAGTTTTATTTTTTAGGTCATTTATCAAATAGACTTTTTATTGATAAATATATGCTATATGGTTACTTAATTTTATTGAATCAAGCCTGAAAGTTATCAAGAACAAGAAATACTCTGTAAATCACTGAAGTTGCATGTCAGACCTTTCGTATCCAATAAGTCTTTTGCTTATACTTTTGAAAACGTATCTTATTACCAAGGAGGATGCATTGCCTGCGTATCTAGATTTCCCTCTCCTGTATTTTTTATTTAGCTAGTTTTACTTCCTTTGTGTTATTTTTCCCTTGCACATTCCTCCAATACCCTATAAGTCACATCTGATTCTTTACCGCCTATAAACTTTAATGTAAATTTAGCAATTGGCATTCATGTGTCAAGCAGTCCATATTCCATATTTTCCTCTATGGTTTCACGAAATGTTTGATGGTATGGGGAGAGTTTAAATATATTTAGTAATGCAAAACCCTTTTATAAATAATTCTAGATATCTGAAAGGAGCTAAGACAGAGGTTCTCAACCTTCCTAATGCCGCGATTCTTTAATACAGTTCCTCATGTTGTGGTGATCCCCAACCATAAAATTATTTTCACTTCTACTTCATAACTGTAATTTTGCCACGGAGATGAGCCAATCAGGGTGCAAGGTAGCAATGATGAAACATATAACTTTTCCTCTAGTTCTTAAATGCTTCCTTCCTCCCACTATTATCATGATCCCAATTCTACCTTACAAATCTGGCTAGGCCAGAGGATGTACATTGGTACAGATAGCAACTGGAAACACAGGGAATCCAGGACAGATGATCCTTTCACGACCAGTGGTGAAAGGAGTGAGCCTAGAGGGTGAAGGGAATGTGGGGTGGAAAGGGGAAACCGATTACAAGAATCTAGGTATTGCTTCCTTCCTGGGGGACGACAGCAGAGAAGAGGGTGGGGGAAGACATCAGACAGTGAGACTTACGACAAACTATAATAAGTTGTGAATTATGATGGCTTCATGAGGTAGGGGGTTGGGGAGGGAGGGGGGGCAATGAACAACTGATAATTAAGGGCTGAGGTGGAGGGCAAATGTTTTGAGAATGATGAGGGCAGTGAATGTACATATGTGCTTGACACTATAGATGGATGTATGGATTGTGATGAGAATTGTATGTGCCTCTAATAAAATCATTTTATATATATATACATAATGCAGGATGGATTTTCATTGTTACAATTGAACATTATTAAAGCATTGTGATTAATCCTAAAACCAATATGTCATTATATATTGTGAAATATTTATTTCTAATGACAAGTAAATGGAATTTTTTCTTGAAGCATGGTGTAGCATAGGTTACAGTCTTCACGCCGGGCACTATGTGGGTGTATCTGCATGTAGGCAGGCCTGCCTGGAGATGGATAGAGGAGTGGTGTCTCGGTTCCTAAGACCTCCGGGCATATGTGTTTTCCGATGGTCTTAGGTGACCCCCGTGAAAGGTTTGTTCGACTCCCAAAGGGGTCGTGACCCACAGGTTGAGAACCACTAAGAGATCATTTGGTCATTTAATTTTATTCCAACAAAATGATACTCTCTCAATTCTAGAAATACGTTATTGATATCACATTTAATTTCGAATGCTACAGACCAATCAATGGTAAGCATTTCAATTCAAGCATATGATTTCTAGTCTCTGATACAAAACTCCACACATGACTTCTTAAGAACCCTAGTAGTTCTGTGATGCATAGAAGTTTGTTGTCTCCATATCAAGCCAATGTCTTGTCGATTGAATTCTGATAGACGTATACACGTTACTTGACTTATTAAGTTTTTAATTTCTTACAAATGCCTAATTTTATATCCAAATTTAGAAATTTGAATGTAACCTGAGGATAGAAAAATCGAGATTTTTAAGGACATCTGTGGTAGCTTAAAATACTATAGAGTGTAAAAATTTTGTCCAGTGTAGGCTGAGATAAAATTATAATGAAAATGTCAGCTTTCACACATTGAAATATAACCACAAAACCATTTTCTTAACTCTCCTCAAACTTACCTTCAGTAATCTAAAGCACATTTGAATAGTTGAACTATATCCCAAAAGATGAGTATCATTTATAAACTCTCAAAGATCATTTCATGTTCCTTGAATCTAAGGTAACAGCCACTGGATCTTAGTTTTATTTTTATTTTAATATTTTTATTTTTGGATCTTAGTTTTCCGTAGAAAACTATTAAATAGCACACATATCTGCCTAGCTTTATATGTTGTGTATAATGATCCGCTGCCCACTGTGCTTAAATAATTCAGTACCATGGATAATGCTATTGTCTTTTCAGAACTAATTTGTAAAACTAAGTTACATTGGGAAAAATAAAGAGAGTGATATTTATTTGACCTTTTCCAGTTCATGAGTTTTTTTAAGCTATTTATTCTCCATTTCCGTTTTTCAGTGGCATTGTCAAAGCTCTGATACTTCAGCTTTGGGGAGTAAGTTTCTGCAGTAACAGTACTCCTTTCTTGAGTGGTTAGTGAATCCTTATCCTCTTAATCACCTAGTATGAGTGTATGCGTATGTGCTATCCATATTCAACTTAATGGTAACTGTGCTGTAGATAAATCTTTGCATATAACTCAAAAGCATAGACAGTCCAGATTGAGTTGGCCTCTGACCTTGTGCCAGGTGTCCTGTATAGATTGTAGAGATCAACTGTTTTAAGATCAGTGTTTTTTGACTTACGGATATTCCAAGAGTGTTGTATTTTCATATTTACCATCACTTCACTAAACGCTATACCCCAATTTATTTAACACACAGAAATGTGATCATAAACTCAAAAAATGTAAGTACTAGGATTGACTTACATGGTAAAGACGTCCAGTGTGTCTCCAGCAGTTCTTGCCATCTCAAAGTAGGTTTGCAGAATAGTGACAGATCCAGAAAGTGCTTCATGGCCACAGCCACAAAATAGGGCCACTCCAGCATAGAGCAGGATGGTTGCAATCAGAGAGGCGTAGGGAATGCCCCCTAGGCATTTGATACAGCACTCAAAACACCCTGCAAAAGATCAACAGACAAAAAAGAATTGTTAGTATTATTTTGGGGTAATCTAATATTAAAATTGACTGACATAGTGCCTGCAGCCCTGGACCTCAACTACAGCAACAGCTGTGAGGGTGGCCCAGGACTGGGCAGTGTTCCATTCTGTTGTATTATACGGGTTGGAACCAACCTGATAGCACCTCACAACAAAAAGAGCAATATTATTTTTTTCAAACTTTAGTATTCAAGAATGTTGTTATGCAACTTTATATTAAGAGATTGGAATAGTCTGAAATTTTAATATTGTTAATTGAACTGGACTTCTTAATAGGAGCATGGCTCATCTCATTTGCCCAGAGCTGGTATAAAAGGAGTTTGAACAATTCCCCACTTCCCTAGTGGGGAATGTTTCTTGAATATTTCATGAATGTGTTTTTGAATATTCCTCCCCCGGGACACTCACATACATACAAGATGTGGGGAAGCAGGAAAGGTTAGAACAGCTTGAAATTTCATGTAAGAAGAAGAAATTTCACAGCAGATGGCTGAGCCCAATGCACATAGCACACGAATGTCACTGAATGCAGTTGAAGATGGAGATTAGCAGGTTGGCAGAAAAATCTTTGGATCATTACCTGTCTCTGGATGCTCTAAAATGACCATCTTATTGATAATTGAAAAAAATAAATAAAAACAAATAAAATTGGTACCAAATCAATGAGCAGTTACGTCTGTTTTGTCAAATGTCCCAGCCAACTCCATTGTCCTGCACTGAAATGTGTCCTACAAAAATATATGTCAACTTGAGTAAGCCATGATACTCAGTCTCATGTAAGTAGCCTCCATTCTATGAATTAATATAATGATCTAATCTTTTATATATCTTAATATCTATGAGGCAGGATTGGAAGCAATTGTGTTCATCTATAGGGCTAGTTTGCATATTGAGTTGATCTCTGTTGAGATGAAACCAGTGAGCAGAGATCACTGCTACTAACGAAGAACTAGACGCTGAGTCCGCATCCTTTGGACCCAGCAGGACTGAGGTAAGAACCTTGTGGGACTGTTGGGAACCTTGCAGACCTGGGACAAGATTGATTCCAAGGGACACCAGGTCCACAGATGTTGAAAGGAGACAGGGACCTTCCTTCACAACTGACACAGAGAATAATATACAATGAAAAAAATGTGACCTTTATGGCACTCTGAATTTAGACTTCCAGACGCCGAAACTAGGAAAAAATAAGTTCTGTTGGTTAAAGCCACCCTTTACGGTATTTCTATAATAACACCACCACATAACTAAAACATCTTTGATTTTAAATCCTATTCTTCTGGGCACTCTTTGCCACTGTTCAAAGATCATTAGCCATAGGAATGGGCATTTCCACCATGGGCGATGTAAGGTGTCATAAGCAAGCCATCAGTCATTTCATTCAGCATGCTCTAAACAGTGCTTCATAACCTACGCAGTTCAAATATAAATAAGAGCCCCCAAACTATATCCACAGATAGGAATGAAGCTGGATTCATTCAAGATTATCACTCATTAAAAATCAAATCAGAATATTAGTCCAGTAACAAGTAAAATGCTAAATTGTGGGAATCTGGTTTGCAGAAGGCTATGGATGACAGTGGGTGTCCAAGATATATTTGTGAGATCTACATAGGAAATAAGTCTCTAGTGATCTCCCTCTCTTTACAATAAAGGATGAGAGGAAAGCAGTTGCCAGATACAGTCCATTAGAGCGATGACTATAGAAGATCAAAATGATAAACCATAATTAACGTTTGTCAGTTGCTCCCTCCTCTGATACATGTTTGGCTGATCTGGTTCTCAACATTTTCTGTGTTGTTTGTTTCTTTGTTCATATTGGGGTTTATCTCAGATGTGTTATGTCATTGGGATTCACCCTCTGGAATTTTTGCTATATGTTTTTCTGTTTTACAGTATATGAAACCCAGGCTTGATGAACCTATAGGGACAGTAAGTAGAATAAGGATTTCTGGGAGATACAGTGATGGGGGGAAGGAGGGTAAAAGGAAGCTGATGTCAAGGATTTCAGGAAGGAAAAGGATGTTTTGAAATTGATTGTGGTAGCAATTGTATAGTCGTGCTTGATGTGATTGAACTATGGAATGATATATCTGTGTTAACTTCTAATAAGATGGTTTAAAAAAAAAACACTGTTGAAGTCTTCTAATCAATACGTTACTTATTTGGAGTCAGTTTCCATTCTTTTTTAAAATTCCATTTTATCGCTCCTTGGGCTTTAGATGAACCAATAACAGCCTGTGTCCAAGCAAGGCCGTGTGTGTGCTGGTGCTGCTTCCACGTATGCTGTCAGCGCTGCCGCAGGAAGGAGAACTTACAAAGCATTGCCTTTCTGATCTAGAGAGAACGAGTGGTAAATCCCCAAACCGGGTAGACCCGTATAATCCAAGTAAATATCTCAAAACGAGTTTAAAATCCCCAAATTAAATGAAATATTTTACTCCCTACTGAGTATCATTTCAATCCCTGATAGGTATATTATCGCAATGCAAAAATACAAATTCCCCTAAAAAGTCCATTACCACTAGGTCAGGAGGCAATTTTTTAATAAGTTCAGATAATCTGAGCATATTTTATTCAAAGCAAAGAATTTTAAGGATCTTAGTGAACACACGTTGCACTTGTATTGGGCTACATGCTAATTAATCCCACTCCTCCATAAAGCCTGGGCTGTTTAAAAGGAGCGTCTCAGAACTCCATCTGGGGAAGCAGCACATCATTTCAGTACTCTCTCCAGCTGCCAGGATCCCAAGTAGTTGCTGGCGGGGGAGTGTCTTTCTACCCACGGTGAGAAACATCTTTGGCAAAGCAGCAGAGTCACCATAGCAACCATGCCCCTGGACCCAGGATATACTTTCAACAATCTCTCTTTAAGCCCTAGGATTCTGCCACCAAGTATCACCCTTTTGTTTTGGTTTAGTGCACTTGAACAAGAGAAATATTCTATTAAATGATGGCATCAACTAAGTGTTTGTGAAAGGATAATAAATGGGGTGCTGACACTAGAAAAGATATCCTTCTTCAAAAATTCTTAGGAAGATGTTAAAGATTTTTTGCCACCAGACTCATTTTTGATACTGCGTATTATGAGAAAAGGACCATTAATTCTGAAATCAAGCAGATGGTTCTAATATTGAATGCAGAATTCACATGTTATGGAAACTACCTATGTACCCAAAGAAGCACGTCTCATACTCAGTTTCTGGTACTTTTAAAATGAAATAATACTCTGTCTTCAGCTTTAACATGAAAGTAAATATCAAAGGACTAGGAGACTTTCTTTTCAAGACATTCTCTGATCCCTTAATATTTGTATTTTTTAAAAGATAAGGAGAAATATTAACTTACTGCTACATAAATATTTATGGATTAAATGTAATCCTTTATGTTTTTTCTACAAACCACACCAAAAAAGAAGCAAGAAGTACCTAGACCAATAAGAAAAAGAGCACGCTAGGGAAACCAGTGACAGCATGGGTCAAACAGCACAGATGATGGAAAGGAGATATTCGAGTGGGAGTGGCACTTGAGATTGGCAGTACACTGACAATGTTTTCATTGTCACGTGATTATCAGCACCATTAATCAGTGTTCTTTTCTCTCTGAGGACCAGCAGTGTCAATTTATTGTCAAGTTTCCAAGAGAATGTGGTTCCATCTGTAGATTGTCTTATCTGTTTCGTCGGACAACCCGAGGGCCAGAATGAAACAACACTGCATCTTCACATGTAAAGCAAACCCTCCATGTGCTCAGCATCCTCGGGTTGTCCTGGTCCTTCCTGGGCCTTTCAGTTACCAACAAACAGTTGTGTCTACTTAGTGGGCTCCTGGTTGGCATTTAAAAATCGATTTTGTATATATTGGCTAAATGATTACTTTGATTCCAAAAAATATTTTTAAATTTGTGGATTACTTTGCATTTTATGTTGATAATCATACCACTTGGGGAAAGTTTGAATTATATCTTTTTCCATTGCAATTTTTGTACCTTAATTTTCTTATGGTGTTTGAGTTAGTTGTAGTGAGAAAAGTAAAAATAGTGAGAAAGGCTTGTTTTTGTTTCTAATACTAGTGAAACCCATTTCTTATGGGAAAAAAACCATATATAAAACCATGATGAACTGGGTAAATAGGATCCCTTTAATTTTATATTCTATAAGATGCTATTTGGTTATACTTGTGATAATTGCCCTTTTCCCCCTAACCTGCCATTTAGTTTTTATTCTTATTCTTTCTCATTTAAAGTTATACTCGAGTGTAAGTTTAGGTTAAGTTTACATGGTTTACATGTCATGCTAAAGTGTTTCTCTATTTTTGTTTCAATCAATTTATTCAACAATGTATTATTAAGCTTTCAGCCTACAATTTTTAAATCTCTGGCTCGCAATGTTCTCTGCTAATTACAATTATTCAGAAGTGCAGACTAATAAAGGAGTCCAGAGCATTTTATGGCCAAAGTAAGATCCTAGTTATAGAGCATCTCAGTTTGGCAATTAAATAGTCTGGGCTGCAGGTGGCCACACCATTTCAGTTCACAATCCAATTGCTAGAAATAACCACATGCCACCCCCACAACCAAGCGGAAGCAAGAAAGTTCAATTTTTCTGTATTTCTAAAACATAGAGATCCATGAATATTTAAAGAATATCACTAATTATTTTCATAGTAAGTAATGTCAGAACTTTTTCCACATCACTTTTAGTTCCAAATAATGCATTTTGAATAATTATGTTCTAATTTCATATGGCACCACATGTGTGTCAGCTTGTCTTACCTTAGGGGCTGTGTGTTGCTGAGATGTTGAAACTATACCACTGGTATTTTAAGTGCTAGCTAGCAGGGGCTCCCAAAGGGAGCGGGTTTCCGATGAGATTCCAGACCAAGAACAGACAACTAGGAAGCCCTCCGCTCCCCACTTTGGAGGAAGAAGCCACTATGCTGTGTGGGTAGCTTCACAGCAC